TATGTAGAAAGTTGCTTTTGTTTTGGGTATTGACATTGTATCCTGCTATGCTACTGAATTTGTGTGTCAATTCTATTAGCTTCCTGGTGGAGTTTTTTGGGTCTTGCAATTAACGACTCATGTCATTGGCAAATATGCATAATTTAACTTCTTTTTACCTATTCTTATTCATTTCTTTTCTCTCTCTTGTTTAAAGTCTTTAGCCAGTGATTCCAGAACTATATCGAATAGGAGTGCTGATAAAGGATATCCTTCTCTTGTACCAGATCTGAGAGGAAAAGCATTCAAATTTTCCCCATTTAGACTTATGTTAGCCTGTGGGTTATAACAGTTATCTTTTATCATTTTGAGGTAGAGGCCATCTATTCCTATTTTTTGTAGTAATTTTATATCAATGAGTATTGGACTTTGTCAAAATCGTTTTGTGCATCAGTTGAGATTATCATGTGGTTTTTAGATTTTGCACTACTGATATAATGTATTGAATTTATAGATTTGCATATACTGTCAAATCCTTGCAAGCCTCGGATAAATTGTACCTGATCATGGTGTATAATCTTCATGATGATTTGTGATATTCTATTTGCTGGGATTTTATTGAGGATTTTTGCACCTATATTCATGAGGGAGATTGGCCTGTCATTCTCCTTTTTAGTTCTGTATTGCCCTGGATGAGGAATCGGGATAATACTTCCCTGCAGTAATGCTGTAGGGAGGATTGCTTCCTTTTCAATGTCATTGAAGAGTTTGAGTATAGGAATTATACCTTCCACAAATTTCTTCCAATTTAGGCATGAATGCATCAGGACCTGGACTCTTCTTTCTCAATAGTCTTTTCGGTACTATTCGTATTTCATCAGCTGTTATTGGGTTGTTAACAGTTGCTATATCTTCTTGCTTCAATTTTGGTAATTTATACCTATCAATCTGTCTATTCCTTCTGTGTCTTCTATTCTGTGACAGTAAATATTCTCAAAGTAGGTATTTATTATCTTCTGAGTTTCTACTGGCCCTGTGGTAATTACACCATTATTATTCCTTATTGCTTGTATTTGAAATTTTACTTTGCTCTTTTTAATGAGGTTAGTAAGGGGCTTATCAATTTTGTTTAATCTTTCAAAGAAACAACATTATGATTCTTTTATTATTTGAACATTTTTTGAATCAATTAAATTAATTTCTGCTCTAACCTTTATGATTTCTTCCCTTGCTTGGGTTCTGGATTTGTTTTTTTTTTTTCTTCCTTTTCTAGTTGTTGGAGGTGCAATGTTTGAGTGTATTTTTCTTGCTGTTCTTTCTTCCTAATGTGTTCATTCACAGCTACAAATTACCCTCTGAGAAACACTTTACTCGCATCCCATAAGTTCTGGCATGTTGTGCTTGCATTTTCATTGATTTGTTGATGTTGCTCAAATTCTTGTTTAACATCGTCTGTGACCCACTGGTTGCTGAATAGAGTGTTGGTTAATTACCATGTATGTATGGGCTTTTTCTGGTTTCATTTGTCATTTCTTTCCTTTTCATTGCACTGTGGTCAGAGAGTATGCATGGGATAATTTCTGTTTTCTTGCATATACTGAAGCATGAGCTACTGCATATTATGTGGTCTAGTTCATTAAATGTCCCTTGTGTAGCTTAAAAAAGGTGTGTATTCAGCTGTTTTGGGATGGAACTCTCTGTATATGTGCACTACGCACATTTGTTCCAGCTCTGGTTCACTACTGCTAAGTCTTTGCTAAATTTTTGTCTTCTTGACCTACCTCTTTGGGATAAACATGTGTTAAAGTCTACTGTTAAGACTGTGCTATTGCATATTGGATTTTTCATGTCCATTAAGTTTTGTCTTATATAGTGGAGAGCTCACGTGTTTGGTGCGTACATATTTAAGAGTGTTACTTGTTCACTTTGAATTTTTCCCCGAATCAGTATATAGTGGCCTTCTTTAATTCATTTGATATTTCTTGGTTAGAAGTTGAGGCTGTCTGAGTACAAGATTTCCACCGTTGCTTTTTTTCTGAGTTGCAGAGGCATGTAGTATTGTTTACCATCCTTTGAATTTCTGCCTATAAATTTTTTATGGGTTAAATTCGTTTGTTTTATACAGCAGACTGCTGGAATTTCTTTCCTAATCCACTGTTCCAGTGTATTTCCTTTTTTTTTGGGGGGGGGGGAGTCGGGGATTGAACTCAGACCCTTGTGCTTGGCAAGGAAGCGCTTACTGAAATGAGCTATATCCCTGGCCCTGTGTGTTTCTTTTAATTAGTGAAATGAGTTTAATTGACATTAATTGTTATAATTGAGATGTGTTGACTTATGACCCAATTGTTATTTACCTACTCGTGTTTACTCCTTTTTCTCATGTTTTTTACTATTTGCCTTATTTACAGGGTTTCTTCTGTTCACATTCGTGGAGTTTTGATTATTTTGGCCCCTCTCCAACACAACTTCAGTAGTCTGTGTAGGGTGGGCTTTGTCTTCCTGAAATAATTTCCTTCTTCTTTGTCATGATGTGCTTCACTTGTCCATCAAAATTGGGAGTTTTGCAGGATATAGCAGTCTGGGCTTGGAATTTTTATTCAAAGAGAACTTGAAGTACTCTGCTCCATGCTCTTCTTCCCTTCATGGTTTGTGAAGAGTAGTCTGCCGTAATTCTGATGGGTTTTCCTTTGAATGTGATCTGCTTCTTTTCTCTAGCATATTTCAGTATATTATTCTTATGCTAGATTTCTGGGATCTTCACTGTTATATGTTTCAGTTTGTTTTTAAGTGGGATGAAGTTATTTGGTATTCTGCATGCTTCAGTTTCCTGAACTTCAGAATGTTTCCATGTATTTCAGATGTTTTCTGCTATTCCTTCTGCCCATATTTTTAATATCATTTGTCTTTACTCCTCCTTTCTCACTGATGCCTATTAGGCTCACATTGCTCATCTTTGCATCGTCTTGCAGGTGATGAATTATATTTTCCTGCATCGTAGTCATGTTTAAGAGATCTTTTCTTACCTTCCCTCTAGGTGCTCTAGCATCTTCAGGATCTGAAACTCAGTCTTTACTTTTACTTAAATGGTTTTTCAAGCTTGTGATTGAGATTTTGAGTTCCTCTATATGTTTCTGACTCTGCTTCATGCGATCTGTTTCCTTCCTATATTTCTCACTTAAAGAATCTGGCATTTTTCTACACTCATTGTTTTTTTTTTTATCAGTGTTTCTGTAGATGCAGTTACTAATTCTCTGACTGCAGAGTGTTTATCAGATCGGGTATTCTCCATATGCTTGTGCATTTGATTTATTACTTCAGATGCTACTTAGTCTGAGAATTATTTTGTTATTTCTGATCTGATTCTGCACTTTTTCCTTCAGTTCAGACACTCTTGATTCATTTATTTCAGCTGTGTGATTTTCAATTTTTTCTGTGCTAGTGTCCTCTGCCGGTTTTGTGGTTGCCTTGGGGGCTGAGATTGCATTTTGTTTCTTCTATTTGTCATTTTGTGTAGCACAGCCTTCTGACCTTTGTTATAGAGCTTTGGTGCAACCACCTAGTGAAAGTGCAAATTTGCCAAATTTCAATTTATCCAGTTGTGCCTTGCTTAGGTCTGGCTGCTGTGCTCAGCGGATTCCTTCTGCATGCTTTAGGAGTGAACCTTTTCTGTCCCTCTGTGTAGATGTTCTGGTCTTGGACTAGTTGGCTGGTTCTGTTCCCTACATTATCTGCAGGGTCTTCAGACGCAGAGTTTCACCCCTCACCTGTATGCCAGGTCTGGGCTGTGTCTGTAGTGTTCCACTGGATTCAGGGGTGCACAGAAGCTCTCCCACATGCTAACTGTGCCTGGGTTTGTCTGGATCTGGGTTTCCTGACAACTTGTCAGACTTTCACACTCACTCAGTGTTCGTGGCATTTGCTCCGTGGTGCTCTGGATGTCCCAAGGACTCAGGAGAGGGTCTCACTCACATCATGTACCTGGATTTGTATTGGAGAGCTTCCGAGGATGCATGCTTGCCTGAAGCTCTTCCACACAGTTGCTGGTCTTAGGCTACGCCTGAATATCTCATGGAGTTTTTGTTCTTGATCCTACTTAAGATTTCCATGTGTGAATTAACTTACCTATATTGAACAATCCTTGAATTTCAGGAACCAAGCCTACTTGCTTGCTTTGCATGAATTTTTTTAAAAATTATGTTTACTGATAAATTTTGTGTATGCATAATGATCACATTCATTATAGGGAAATTGTATCTTCCTCATGACATCCTTTGAATCCACATTTTCGACTTCTCCTGTTTGCATTTTTCATTTCACTTTCCCCTCCCCATTCACAATGATCAGGTTTAATTTTTTCATTATTTTTTCAGTGTTTTCTTCCTTTTTTGTTTTTCTTCGCTCCTCCTCATCTCCTCTCCTTTTGAGGTAACTTCCTAGTCCACAATATCTGTTATTTTTTTATATTCTTATGTTCTCAGCTTCCTGAATCAAAGAAATAATCTCCTATTTCCACAGGCATGTTTGTTTCATTGTACTTATAATTATGTTCTCAGAGTCTATCCATTAAAGTATAAATGTCTGAATTTTACATTTCTTCTTGGCTGAGTAATAATTCATCAAAGAAATTCACATCTATGTATCCATTCTTTTCTTGATTGATATTGGAATATTTTTCCAAGTTTTATCTATTAAAAATTTTGACACTAAAACATGAATGTACATGTATTGCTCTGATGTTTTTATATGTTTTAATTCTTCTAAGAATTTATCTAATGTCAAATGATACTTTAGTCCTAGGATTTTTGTTGATTTTTTTTTGTTGTTGTCTGCTCAAATAGGTGAGCAGCCTAAAGCACCTGATTAGGAAGGAGCAGAGACTGGGCATTGATTCACAGTGTGGCATGGTAGCCTTTCCCCAGGGCAAAATAAGACTGGAGAGTGACACTGGGTGTGGTTCTCGTACCGCTCATCTCAGAATTTGCGAGACTAGAAACAGGAGGATCCTTGCGCAAGGGCCATGTTAATCTTCTCTGTATCGTTCCAATTTTAGTATATGTGCTGCCGAAGCGAGCACCAGTAACTGTTATGGTCATTATGCATGTCCACAACACACTAGAACTTTATGCGATATCCTATCTCAAACTGTTAGAAG